TTCCCCCACATGCTGGCAAGGCCTGCAGGAGCCTCATCCACCTCCTTTTGGGACAAAAGAAGCATTAATGCAGAAAAAATTTGTTTATTTGCAGTCTTGCTTCTGCTTCAAGAGCTGAATCAAATCAGGCAAAACAAAAAAAAAAAAAAGAAAAAAAAAAGAAAAAAACCAGTTTGGGATGGACACTCCACCTATTAAACAAACAAAGCTGAGGGAAAACTATGCACAAAATTCCCCCATTGTCATAAACTCCCCCAGTCTGGCTTCAAGAATACATTTAAATTCCTAGAAATGTAACAGGACAAATATTCAGTTATTTATTTGTGCTGCACAGCCACAGCAGCTGTGAATTCTCATTGACAGCAATGTGTGGAGCAAGGAAATACCTTCTCAAAGGATTTGGGCCAGTCCTCACTGTGGATGTTCCTCAGATTCCCTCGGTCCTCGATCTTGTAGTGGCGGATTTTCTGGTCCTCCAGCCAGACAATGAAATTCCTGAACTCTGTTTCATCTGTGGGGAGGAGCAAACAGAGCAGGAATTGAAAAATATCTCAAGTTTTCAGCTAATTCATACAAATCTTGATGTCTCTGAGCACTTTTCCCATTAAAAACCCCACATATATATATAAAAAAACATATAGAAAGCCCGCTAAATAGGTATTTTGTGGGTGATAAATATATATTTAGTGGGTATACATTTAGTTAATATATATTTACAAGTTAGTATATATTTTTATATTTATAATACACATTCATTTATATATTTAGTTAATATATTTATCTTAGTTAGCATATATNTGGGGCAGCCCTGAGGTGTCCCTGTCCCCCTGTCCCTTCCAGAGATGTGGCAGGAAGACTGGATGCTCCTGCAAGACCTCCAAGCTGCTCTCCAAGCTGAAGGAAGATCCTGACTTGCTGAAGCTCTACCTGAAGCACCTGCAGAGGTGCAGGACATCCTTTGTGGAAGTGTTCCAGGTTGGGCTGGATGGGGCTGGGAGCAACCTGGCCTGCCTAGTGGGGTTGGACTGGGAGATCTTTACAGCTTCCTTTCAATCCAAATTTCTTTGTGATTCCCCAGAAAAACCAGCAAGAATTTACAGGAGGGCTTCGAGGAGGAGGAGAAGACACACCTGGCTGTTTGCCAATAAACTCCCAGCTGTAGCAAGGATCTCAGGAAAGCTGGGCAGTGGATGGAGCTGTCCCAAAGCACAGGGACAGCACAGCTTTGCAATAAAGGTTGCAGGTGAAATTGTCTCCAAGGTTAACGGAACATGGAATGGATGCAAGGAACACAGAGAGTGACTTCACACTGGGAATGCTGCAAAGTTCCTCCAAACCAAAGTTCCTCCAAACCAAAGTTCTTCCAAACCAAAGTTCCTCCAAACCAAAGGGAAGGAATTCCTGGCTGAGACAGAATTCCCAGAGCAGCTGTGGCTGCCCCTGGATCCCTGGAAGTGCCCAAGGCCAGGCTGGATGGGGTTTGGAGCAGCCTGGGGTAGTGGAAGGTGTCCCTGCCCATGGATCCTTGAGGTCCCTTCCAACCCAAACCATGGGAATTTCACACAGGATTGTGTGAAATGAATCAGAATCCCCCACTCCCCATCCACTTTGAGATATTAAATAGATTCCCTCATACCATTATCTCCATACTCCAGCCTCACAGCCAAGCCAAGCAGCCAATCCACAGTTTCCTGGCGTTCCTGTATTTTGAAGGGACAGTTCACATCTTTCATGTACTGGGGAGCAAAAAAAAAAAAGAGAAAAAAAAAATTATTTTAGTGGATGAATCATTGGGAGCACAGAACTGTTGTCACTTCCCCACAGGCCTCACAGAAAATATTAATTAACAAGAGGTGTCACTGTGAAATTCCTGCTGTGGCATCTGATCCGTGCTGGAGTGTCCCAAAGCACCCCCAGCTCAAGTCTGACACCTGAGAATGGAATTTTATTTTTAATGAATGTTTTTTATTGCCAGACTGTACCAAAATGCCCTTGCTTCACTCTCTGCTCATGTCACAGAGCAGATGGAACAAGGGAAGGGGGAAAAAATTGGAACAAAGCTTTCCCACCTGGAATGGAGCCACCTAAGGCTTCCACACACCAGAGCATTCTCTACAGCAGCAGAAGTAAATTTTCCTTTTTTAGGGATTTTGTACAACAAGAGAGGGCAAAACCAGGCTGAGGTTCTGTCCCAGACCACGAGACCCAAAAACCAGGACATGGTGACATCCTGTCATGTCCCTTTGCTGCAGGGACAGAAATGACAGCTGGGAAAAGGAAATTCTGCTTTCCAGGGGCTGGAAAACAGGAATTCCCTGGGAATTATGGAGAGGACACTGTCACCAAGCCAGGAATGGCACCACAAGCCTGGAATTCCAGATATTCCCATTTCCCTCCAGAATATTGGAATAATTCACTGAGCAAAGGAAGAGTTTCCAGGAAGAGAAAAAAAAAAATTGGGATGGATGGGCACTGGGAATTACAGAGCAGGGAAATGGGAGCAAGAGGAAAAGCTCAAGAGCTTTGTGGGGGCTGCAAATGCTCAGGAGCACAGAGATCACCCAGAGTCCATCTGGA